AACTCTTACATTACAACGGCAAGGCCTCTACTGAGCTGAACGTACTTGCTTGGATGGTGTTCCCAATGACATTTGGGGGAAAGTGAGTTTCTGTCTTCTTTTACTCAATTTTTACTTTTCAGTTACTTATGTTATCATTACATTGTATTTGGGAAATGAAACGCTGGGGGAGAGGAAGGCCTTCCTTACTGAAATACCTTTGTTTTGCCAGTTTGCTTCAGTTGTTGCATTTTGCTGGGTATAGGATGTGTCTATATACCTATATAAGAGGGTATAGTCATGTTCTACTCCACTGTGTGGCCACTGCGTGACAGAGAGTGTTGGACTAGATGGGTCATTGGCCTGATCCAACATGGCTTCCTTTATTTTCTTATGAGGACAGTTCCTACAATGGCGACCTGGTAGTCATTTCCCATAAATTTAATTATGTGATTTTTAATATTTGTTTGTTTGTTTGTTTGTTTACTTACTTACTTATTTATTTTATTTTATTTTATTTTATTTATATGCCGCCCACTCTGTTCTAAATGTGTGTTTAAGTTAGAGTCTTCAAGCAGTTTTCTTTGGAGTCATGGCCATGGACACTGTTCTGAATTGCCTGAAAATGTGCTTGTACTCACTTCTAGAATATCATCCAGGTGGGCTGCTATTCTGAAATCACTGATGCACAATGGAAACGAAAGTATTGATGCTGAAGATCTGTGCTGTAAACTTATAGCAATAGCTCAAAGACTTCCGAAGTCTATGCCACCACAAGAAGTACTTCTCTTCATAGTGCAACAAAAACTCCTGGATAGTGTTTCTGTTGCTCTAAGGATCCTTCTCACACTTCCAGTGTCAGTGGCTAGTGGTGAACAGTTTCTCAAAGCTCAAGCTTATAAAAACATATTTACACTCAACACTGTTGCAAAGTAGACCAGTTGAACATGCCGAAGCATCAGCCGTTGACCTGAAGCAATCAGTGACAAAATTTGCAAAAGAGAAGGCACGCAAAATGAGATTTTGATATGGAAAAATAGAAACATTTAAGAGACATTACAGTTCATAGGATTATTCAAAATGATTTGTGTGCTAAAACTGTTTTATATTTGAGAAAGAAAATCGAAGACTGTTCTATTACTTGTTCTCTCAGTTTTTTAAAATAAAACTTTCACAATTTCAACTTTTGTATTTTTTCCCCCTACAATTTGTCTGTTTTTGAAAATTGGTGGTGAGGGGGGTGCAAGTAGTTTTGCCTAGGGTGCAAAAAAGCCTGGCACAAACCCTGAAAACACCACCTTTATCCCTTCCTTTTTTACTCAATAGGAGGAATGCAGACATGATGGCAGACAGGGTGGGAGAAAAGGCTGCTTGCCCTGGGTGCCAAAATGTCTAGTTATGTTTCTGTGAATAGAGATGGTGAAAATTCCTTCAGGTCCATTTGAAATTCGGATGAGCAAAAAATGCTATCCTTCTCCCTTCTCTTCCTTACGTTCCCCCCCCCCTTTTAAAAGTTCTCCACCCTTATTCAAAAGCTCAGTTTAGACCTGATCTCTCCACCTTTATTCAAAAGCTCAGTTTAGACCTGATCACACCCCTAGTCAAGCCATCAGAAGAAGGGAAGGACGTAAATGCCTCTTCTCCTCATTTCCCAATGAAGTTGCAACTGGCTCCTTCCCACAATGTAGTACCCTTCTATATAGCACTCTGCCCTCATTTCCTTACAGGCTGTAGCAGCAACCACAGGGAAAACTGAATAAATGCTCTGTGTCTCCGATACTGGCACAGAAGTATCTCAGCTGTAACAGGGAACCTAGGAGTACAATCTTATCATTACTGATGAAGCCCAGGGCAACTTACCTTGCACTTTTACCTCAGAAGCTGTATCAGGATGGATTTTTGCTTCTGAATGCTTATGCAGAATTACAAGAAAATAGTATAAGATATGCAGGGATATAAATCCTTGCTTGTCTCATTCACACAGGCTAGAAGAAGGAAGTACAAAATTAATGAAAACAGGAGTCTACTGCCAATTCCTCTCCTTTTCCCTCCAGTATTCTGTAGTCTAGAGATATTGTAGTGAGGCCCTACTTAGTTGTCATTAGATATGAATTACACTGAGTCACCTAATATAATGTTATGTTATTATGTGCTATCAAACCTCTTCTGAATTATAGTGACCCTAATAGAGGTTTCAGTGTAGGTGAGATGTTCAAGAACTGGTTTACCCTTGCCAATCCTAAAGCGAGTTTTCATGACACAGTAGGGATTTGAAGCCAGGCCTTTTGAATCCTAGTCTGACACTCTACCAACTACACTACAGTGGTTCTCACCTGATGTAAGAGTCATCATTGTTTTTTTAAAAAGATTTGCTGGTGTTAAATTCTAGAAATTCATTTTGCATTTCATGTATGGGTGAATCAGAGATCTGAGTTGAATAATCATTAAAATAATCACATGGTATGGGACTGGATCCATTAAAATTTGTCCTTGTCTGATCTATCTATCTCACCATGCTTATAAGACCCATGCATAAGGAGGAGATCTGAAGACATGATCCTGTGATACGTGCACAGGCTGCTCCTATCAGGTGGACGCCTGACGGCCCTCAATTGCACAGGGCAACATAGGTAGATTGGACTCCTCCCTGATTTTTAGAGGTGGGCTGGGCTTGGAAAGGATGTGAGAGCACTTATGTGCATACTTTCTCACTGCACACATCTCTTAGCCCACAACAATTATAATGATCACGCCTCCTCTTGGCTCCCACGCAGAAATCTACTAAATCTTTCCCCTTTACAGTCAGTACTTAATACATCCTCATCCTCATCCACACATGCCATTACGTTGATTCTAACTTATGACAACCCTTTCTGAGGTTTTCCAGGTAGTGAGTATTTGGAAGAGGTTAACCGTTCCCTTCTACTGGGGGCACACAGGGACTGCACAGCTTGCCCCACAAAAGTTGGCTCTTCTCCTACCATTTACTGAATTCAGACTCCCAGTGCTCCAGCTCACTGAGCTAGTCAGCCAGCTCCTTTATGGATAGCCTTCTCTAGATTACAGATAAAATAACAAAAGAGACTAGCTTGATGGCAATCAGGGGCTGCCGGTGAGGAATGGATTAGAGACGCAGAAGAATCCGTTCATCCTTTTGATAAAACAAACATTTGTGTGTGTGTGAATGTATCAATACTGCATTGATTGATTAAAAGTAGATGCTGGTGAGGAACAGAAGGCCGCACAAGTTAATTATGTGCTTGCAAAATTACAGTGGCTTGCATGAATAAATTGAGCTTGATATTTAGTGACAGAAAAGGAACAGCAAGTAATCTAGACAGGAATAATAAAAAAATTCTGGCATTCAGGTGGGAAGCTGTTTGGAACCTTAGAACCAGTGGCAAGGTTCCAGACCCTTCGTTGGTTCCCTCTCTCCCTAATATTGCAGGGAGAGGGATTCTTCAAAGCAAAGCAAAGCAAAGCTTCAGCTTCATCTAACCATATCATATCCATGCCTTTAATCATTAGGATCTTCCTAGGAGCAGAAGCTAATGCTCTTGCATTTACTTACTTAAAGGCTGACTGTGAAGGAAGGGTTGGCTGTTTGCTTTCAATGGCAGAAGGCCATGTCTGGAATAAAAATCAGGAAATCAGAGCTTGGAAAAGTTACGATTTTGGACTGCAGATCGCAGAATGGCCTCCTTATACTATCCCTATCAAGTTGACTGGATGGGAAGGTCCAACTACATCCCAATCCTCAATATGGACATTTCAGTGACAATTTAGTTTAAGACAGCCACATGTAGAGCAGAGCTGGGCACAAACCAGGAAACCAGCCGTTCATGATGGTTTGTAGTTCATGGGTAGCCATGAACCACAAACCAGCTCTGAAAAAATGACCTGCTTCATGGTTTGTCTTTTCAGTTCATGCCTGCAGGGAAGGGAGCACCTCCCTCCTGGTCCTGCCTCCTCCTCCTCCTCCTCTGCTGCTGCCATCTTCAGGGATATCACTTCCAGGAGCTGTGCATGTGGATGCCCTCAAGGCAGTAGCAGAGGAAGAAGCACAGGAGGCAGCATGACCAGGTAGAGAGTCAACAGGGGCAGCAGGAAAGGGACGGGCGGGGGGGGAAATCTGTTTTGCTGGAGCAAAACGAAGTGCTTAGTGGGAAAAAGTTCAGTAGTTCATTTCATTTTGGCAAAATAGGCTGCATGAAACAAATTACAATCTGAACCACAAACCAGCCTGGCTTGTGTTTTTTTTCTGGGGGTAAATGTCAGTCGGTTGAAGCAAAAATAAGGCAGTTTCAAGTCTAAGGAGCTGCGTTTAAAATAAGCTTCAATGTCTTAAAAAAAAACACCAAGCAGTGGTCCTGGCTTTCTATGGATAGGGGGTCAAGACTGGGAGTGACTCATTTCCTCAGATGCGCCGGTGGTGTGAATCTGTAGTCATAAAATTCCTTATTTTCTGATATTTTCTTCTCCCTTTTAGGTTCATCACATGAAAACACTTTTCTTTTAAGAAAAGGTGCTCCAAAATTAAAAAGCTGTCCTGCATTTACTGGTAGATATTGCAAGAAACATCCTATTCACAGAACAACCAACACTTTCCCTTACACACACACACGCACACACACACACACAAACACACCACACCACTGGCTTCCAGCAAAACAGCCAACAATCAATTTGCCACAGATAATAGCACAAAGGGAATGTAAAAGCAAAGGCATGTCACCGCTAAGCCAATGCTGTATGCATCTGCTATGTGATCTTTGGGACAGAGGAAAACGGAGAAGCGCTTTAAAGAAATCTACTAAGGCAGGAGAGCATTTGCCCAACGTATAGCACAAAGTGTGAAGCCACAAAGAAGGGAAAGAGACAATTCAGCAGTACCTAGAAATAATACTGCTCAACATCCACTGAATGCATGTTGGTATGAACCATACCAACATATGCTGGTCAGACAGAGAGAAAGAGAAAAAGTACCCAAGCATACTTTCAGGGTGTATGTGGATACTGACCTGGGCTTGAGACAGGGCTAGTAGTAGTAGGCTCAATAATTTCTACAAAAAGGGAAAAAGGAAAAGAAAAAAAGAACATTTGGATATTAATCACACATGGAACACATACGAAATGAGACAGTCAACAGTCATGGTCATGCAACAGATATTCATGAGGCTAATGTAGGAAATAAACAAACAAACAAGAGCCCACCAGAATCATCCATATGTTCTGTGGAAATCATGCAATAAAGCTGGAGATGGATTCATGAATGACACGCACCAGCTTCTTTGTGCATGCATTGCTAAGACGCAGGAGTCAGGATACAACACTTTCATTAACAAACTTCAGCCAAGCTGCCTTTGCCCACCTACCCTTGAAGTTCTCAAAGATAGTTGTTTGCTGGATTACTGAAAGCAGCATACAAAACACACCTTAATATCCATGTTTTACTGTGTACATAGATACAGTATGTACTCATAAAAGGTTCCACCCAAATCAGCATCTGCCCAAATGAAAGTGCCCCATGTGTACAAAATGCTTTTCTATGTTTTTAATCAAATACATGGAAGTTTCTAATATGCAGACATGGAAACATAGCACCCGATCGGCTAAAGATGCTTAAAAGAAGCTATATATAACTGCTATGATACTATGTATATATATAGTATCATAGCATTTCAGCAAGCTGTATATCAAATGGTTAATTTTTGGTCTTCTCACTAAAGAGGAGCCATTTACTTCTGTTGACTTTTAATAATGCTAAACAAACAAATCATACTGGATTTATAAGTTCAGAGGAAACACAAACTAGGAGCAGTGTTTTCAGACTAAACATGTTTTGTCCTCCAAACACATTTACTTGGAATTAGGTCACAATGATTTAGTGAAATTCACTTTAAAAAAAACTATTATTAGGGTTGTGGTGTACTATCTGTCATGCTGCAACACAGGTTTCCCCCCTACACCTACTGCCTGTTACAGCACACATAATCATCACTGTTAATATACAACTCCAAGAGAAATATTCAAATGACCATTACATTCAAATGCTGCTGTGTTTGAAATGATGAAAAGCATGCTGAAATTGTGCATCATTATACCCTGAGCACTTAATTTTTTTTTCTAAAATACATTATTCGAGATCTCAAGAAAAAAAAATCCACCATCCACTTCTCCTGTGAATTAGCGCATTTTGTAAAATGGGAAACGATTTTGGATTGGCACTTCTTTGATAATTATGCTACTTGAAGACCTTGACCTGCAATGCAGTAACTTCACAATTCCTTTGAGAAGCTAAAATGCATGCCCTTTGAAAGGCTATTATTTTGTATCATGTGCTGTCAATCACATCCAGGGATTGAAGCTACAGCATTAATTCTCCCTCCATTTTGCTCAGACAGCTCACAGTTGCTCTTACACTGACTCTAAACACTGCAGCATTTCTTCAGATCAGAATTCAAGCATCACTCTATTATAGGGTAAAAGCAGTTAAGAGGCATTTAATCTTCACTTGCATTTATCACACATTAAGCTTTCCTGGGGAGTTAACCTACTCCTTAGTGCACATTAGAATTATGTTAAGATCCTGATCAGAAGGGACCATCCTCCTACCCCTTAGAAGAAGAAATATCACTTTAAATGAAGACAAGATTTAAAGAACAGAGAACCCTGTTCCTTCCCTAAGATAAGATATGGAAGCAAAGCTTTCACAGAAGATGTCTTAGATGCTAGAGCTGGAACTGATAAATCCCAAGAAATGCTATGTCAAGTGTAGAGATAAATTAACAGATCTGGTCCACAGATTAGCTAGTATCCAGTCCAAAAGGAATATGAGACGCAATCCATGGTGATCTTCCACTGGGAAAAAAGCAAACAAAAAATCTAGCAAAATTGAGAAGAATTGTCTCTTTTACTTCCTGTGCCCCTGCCCCCACTCCATCATAGGCATCCTTCAGTCTCGAGAGACTATGGTAACGTGCTCTGTATGGAGGACTTCGACGCTGTACATGAAGCTGGAGTGTCCTCTCCAGAGCACGAAGCCTCTCCACATCGCTGGAATGGAAAGGCAAGAGCCAATACAACTGGTTCCAGCGATGTCGCAGGAGTTGCCAGAATGACACGAACTGCCTCCGGGACTCCGGCTCCGGATTTTGCCTCAAGGTTTACTCCTGGAGCCTTTTCCATGAGTGGATATAGCCACAAGGCAGTGGAGGTTTGAAATCAGAGTTTTCCTTCTCCTAGATGGGCTGCCTTCCAAAGCTGGCGAGCCTCACCTACCCGGGCTGCTCCCTCGTTGCATGGGTGATGGCGGCGCCTCCTCCTCTTCACTGCATGGGGGCTTGGGGTCAGAGTTTTCCTTCTCCTAGATGGGCTGCCTTCCCAGGCTAACGAGTCCCACCTACCCGGGACTGTGCTCTCTAAATGGCCTGAGAGCTGTTTTTTGGCTAACCTAGCAGGATGCAGAGGGAAGAGGAGGAGAATAAACAAGAATGGATGCTTATGGATGCAGTTACACAAAGAAAGTGACCTCTATGTCTCACAGGAAATATGCTCACATTAGACACCACCAAAAATGGTTTCAGCAACCAGGTAAAAGATGTTTCCTGCAAACAGTGATCTCAAAACTGCAGATAGAGCTGAGCCATGGCAAAGCTCAGGAAAGCAAAACATTTCTAGTGGGGGAGGTTTCTTCTCATACTTCAAAATTAGTGGTGCAATCAGCCAACCGATGTGAAATTAAGTAAAGACCACGAGCAGTTTTGTTGCCAGAACAAATCTGAAGGATGAGCATGATGTAGGATGATGACCAGGCTTCTTTAAAGTACTATCTGTTACATTTTGCTCTATTTTCATTTAATTTGATTTGGAGTCTATCAAAACTACCCAACTCTTTCCTTTCATCTCTCGTTCCCCAGGAAGTGTGGCTATCTTTCTTCGAAAAACCTTATTCAGTGATGATGACATGAATTGTTTTTCTTGCTGTTTCAAGATAACATGATCCTATTTTTGTGACATAGAAGAAATTAGTCTGTCTCACTGATTCCTCCCCCCTTAACTTTTTGTTTGCTTGTTTTAATAGAAACTATAGGGTCTGTTGAACACAGCAAGCACTGTCCTTGCAATGATCTATGTAAGCTGAATTAAAACATGCAGAAAAGGTGGAAAGGAAATGGCCTGTTTTACATGCAAATCTGTGGAGACTTGTGCCCATTGTTGTTGGGCACAGTGAGTACAGTAGCCAGTGGTGTGTGGAAGCAACATGATGAGGCAAAAGTGGACAATCCCTTCCATATGAAAACAGACAAGCAAACAAGCATTCACACATGCACAGAAGTAGGCACTGCCTCATCCCCACCTGATTAATTCCCTTCCCAAATTAGCTAAAGGGTGGACAAAATACATGTTGCCCCCAAAGCAGAAATGTCTCAACCTGCTGCTGCCTCCTTTAAAAGTTAGGCAGTTGGCTTATTTGCTCATATTCGTGCTCCCAATAAAGAGTATGATGAGGCTTGGAACTCAACAGTAAAGGAACACAGGTGGGGCCTGACCCTATATATCTGGTAAGGAGGCAGATAGCAATGAGATGGCTGGGGGTAGCCTGAATCTGAGGTTTGGCAACACCCCATTTGCCCTGGCAAAGTATCCTCCATTGCTGTTGAAATTGTTGAAAAAGAAGCCACTGAGACTAACATCTATGTCACAACTTGTAACCTTTTCAAAATTGGAGTGATTGACAGTTTCCATTCATTCCAAATCCTATCCAATTCTTTTAAAAAACCTCTGGCATAAATGTAGGATACTGTGCTTCTATAGCCATGATTCAAAATGTCAGGAAATAGCCCAATATTCCTGAGCAATAATGTGCCTGTGTTGCCAGCAAGAAAAAAAAAGATGTGAAACTTTACATGGGAAAGGGCATCCTGAATGTCAGCAGTCAGTATGGTGTACAGGATACCCTCTTCTGCTCACTATCATTCTGAAAGAGACACCAAGCAGGAGAAGATCTCAGAACTTGACTAGTTTTTTAAATCAGTTAATTACTTCTCAACCAAACTCAATTACCACAGTTGGCAGTAGGAAGAGAGAATGATCTAACATGAGACTCAAAGAAGCTATTGCTATTGGTTTGCAAGACCAGAGCAAAGCTGTTAAGGATAGGACATTTTGGAGGTCATGTAGTCACCTCACATCAGAAGCGACTTGATAGCACATAACATCTTTGGAGTTTCTCTCTCTCTCTCTCTCTCTCTCTCTCTGTGTTTTAAAGTACCAAGCAACTGTATTTTTACAACCAGATACAAAATTCTCTTGCAAACATGAATCCCAAACAGACTGTTTGGCTAGGAAGGAGTTAAAAAGTTCTCCTTCTGTTAGTTAACTAACTGGGTCTTGATTGGCAGGTTAAAAAGTTTGAATTGCCCCAGGTATGGAGCCAACTTCTCTTTGAAAACTTACAGTGTATCAGGAGATTGATCTCAGAAATCATAAGGAAATCTTTACTGAAAGCACTTTAGGCTAGGATAAACACAACTGCTTTGTGTTTTGTAATGTATGCACAAATACTTTAAATATACCTAACAAAATGGTATGTGAATTCCTTAAATATACATGGAAAAAAGTCCCCCCCTTCTGAAGGATTGTCACTCCACTATTTTCTTTAAAACAGGCCTGTTGTTTGGCTCTCCTTTTCTGTATAGGTGGTGAACTTTCCTCCCAATATGCCCCATGCTCCCTCCTTCAGCTCCTTTGCTTACATTCTTCTTCCTGCAAGCCTGTACCACACATGCTCAGTATTATAAGAAATCATTGTTTCTCCCGTTTGAAAGGCCTTTTTGAAGACTAACATTTCAGCCCCTACAGCCTGGTTTTTTTTTTCCAAATAAAGAAAACTAGGTAGGGCCAAAAATTTTATTTTATTCATGTGAGCTCCTTTAAATCTAGTATAGTTTGCAATTGCCTATTTCTGAATAGGGCTGGGTGGATTAGCAGTTTTATCTTTAAAAAATCATAACTTGAAAGAATCAAACTTTCCAATAGTTCTGTGTCAAATTTTGTGCTG